AGTGGATGGTGGGCTTGGACAGGTGAAGGACCCCATCTCTGCCAAGGATGGGAAGAGCTTGTCCCTTCTCTGCTGTGCTGGACAGTCTAGCTGTGGGTTTTCTACAAACAGATGGTTTCCTAGGGACTGAGGGAGCCAAGGTGGTGCTGCATCCTCTCTGGCCCTGAGGCAGGAGACAAGCCTTCCAGGGAATTCTGGGAAAGGGGCTGCCTCTCCTCCACCACATTCAATCCCTCATGCCAATGTCTCTCCTCTCCAGGAGGCAGACTCCCTAACCTCCACCCTGGGCTTCTTCCTACAGGCCTGTCAGCCCTAATACAAATCTTCAGGATAAGCGAACTGATTCTCTCTAAGGGAGACAGACTGGAGACCAAATCAGTGGCTAGTGAGTGGACCCTGACTCACGGAGACCCACGGGTGCTGGAGTAGAGCTGTGCCCCACGGGGTTTCCAACGACTGATTTTTCTAAAGCAAACTCCCAAGCCTTTATTCTGAGATACCTCTGGGTGGACAGAAAGTCCCAACCTTTCAGGAACATCAGTCATGACGGATTCCATGTGTTCCTCAAACTCGACTTGCCAAAGAGAACGCCTTGTCCAATTCTTTGACCTTTGTTGTCTCAGTGAGGAGTCACCCCCATTCCTTTTTGGCCCCAGGATCCCATATAAGGCAGAGTCCAGGATGGCTATTAAGTGAGGCCCTGACAGACTAAACCAAATCCAATCACTCACGGGGGTGGGGGGGGCCACTCAAGTAAAAGATGGAAGATGAAAGCATCCTGCATTCCCTCTTCAGGTTATCTGAGGAAGTGGGAAACACAAACCGAGGAATCATTCAGAGAGTAAAAATTCTACTTTAAGAGTAGCTGATCCAGCACACAGGAGCAGTAACTTTGTAAATCATTACCTAACTTGGGAGGGACTGGAGAACATTATGCTGAGTGAACTACCTCAGTCCCACAAGGATAAATATTGTATAAGACCATTATTGTAGAGTGAATATAAGGATCCAGAAGGGGTGGGAGAGGCTGGAAGCAGAGGGATGTGGATGTTCAGGGGGAAGAGGAAATTAATCATTGGGTTGTATAATTTGATGGGGGGGGTGAGGAAAATTGAAAGACTTTGTTCGATTTGTATTAGAATACTGTAAATAAACTAGTGGGGGAAAAAAGAGCAGTTGATCGTTCTGACCCTCTGTTTCCTCATCTGACAAATGAAATAATAAATTCCACCGGTTTCCCTTGCCAGATAGGTCTGAGGAATCAATTCATACCAGGTATCTATGTCCTAAGATATATAAATGCTTCGTAAAAGTCTGTTTTTGATGATGTTAGCTACTGCCAAATCAACCACCAAAAGTCACTCAAGGTAACCTCATGCAAAATGGAATAAAATGCACTTAGTCTTGTGCTATCCCTGTGATTGGTAGGACTGGGCCATTGTGATCCATAGGGCTTTCATTGACTGGCTTTTGGAAGTAGATTTCCAGGTCTTTCTTCCTAGTCCCTCTTAGTCTAGAAGCTCGTCTGAAGCAGCTCACGAACTTCCGCTAACAGACAGGTGGTGGCTGTGTGTGAAAAGCACTGGGCAGAAATGAAACGTGGGTCTCCCTTTCAGCACATGAGAATTTTACCATTATTAAGAAAATTGGATGGGGAAAAGTATTTCTTAAAATGGCTTTTCTGCATCAAGCTTTGTGCTAACGGTTAACAACATAGCCTCATTTAAACCTCATGAAGCTTTGTCATTCTTGAGTACTGTCGAGTCGGAACCGACCCATAGCTTCCAGAGGGCTTTCAGAGGCAGTTAATTGCACGGGAGGAGGCTGCTCATCCTTCTCCTGCAGAGCAGCTGGTAGATTCGAACTGCGTGCTTTTGGAATTCCAGCATAGCTTCCCAGAGCTCCCTCATGACAGCGTATTGTTTGTATTAAGTTTGCTGATATGACAGAGATTCAGAGAGGCAAGGTGAGGCCAAGGTCACACACCTAGATGGACCAATGATTAGAACTCAGCTCTCAAATGTATCAGTCTGTCCCCAAAGCCCGTGGGCATCCTGCTATGGCCCTCGGGCCTGCCACGCTGCTAGGAGCCAAGAGCGTTAACAGGGTTCTGTCTCAGCTCTGTCCTCGGCCCGCTGCATGACCTTGGGCAAGTCACTGCCCCTCCGTCAGCAGGAACAATGCAAATTTTCCAACGCAAAGAGAATTTCTGCCACAAAGTGATTCTGAAAAGCTAGTGTCGGCACTTGTCCTGCGGCACATGTGCTCTTGAAGTCTCTGGCCTGGATCTGCCAGCGCCCCAACCATCAGTCTTGGGTGCTGCGTGCCAGCTCTGGTCTACTGCAGGGCATATGGGCAGGGTCTCTGAATCCTGAGCAAGGGGACATCTGTCCAATCGAGCCAGATGGAGCTGGAAAACACCTCTGGAGAAGTGTCTCTAGATCACAGACTGTTCAGTCTCTCAGAGCTGCCTTGCAGAGACACCTTCCCCTACTGGCTCCCCTCGGGTTGGCTGGGGCTGCTGTTGCTGCCAAAACCCACGAGCAGGTGGGTGGCAGACATGGACCAAAACCGAGGTAAGGTCACATTGCTCTCCCCATTCTTTTCCTCCTGCAGACTGACTGTGTTTCACCAGGGACGAGGCAGGCTTGTCCCAAACACTGCTGGCCCACCCAGGTCTTTGCGATGCACTGTGCAGTTTCTACACTGTGTGCTCAGGCCAGCGCTTTGCGGGTCCCTCCTCCATGTCTGTGCACAGAGCTGAGGGTTGCTGTGCGCTCTCACTCTTAACAGTTGGTACCTGCAGCTCTTTGTCAGTGACCTGCCTGCCCCAGGCTGCTGGAAACTGCTTTGCTTCATCACACGGAGGGATGGAAGTGCTTTTTCACCAATGGGTACTGTGAGTGGTCAACAAATTGCTCCCTGACTCATGGCAACCTCATGCAGGAGGTTTTTGGAAGCAGAAAACCAGGCATTTCTTCCTAGTTCATCTTAGTCAAGAAATCTCACTGAAACCTATTACGTATCACGGCAAGTGCCCGTTGACAGGTGCCTGCTGCGGGTGAGTTGCACTGGCCAGGATCTGAACCTGAGTCTCCTATGTGGGAGGTGGAAATTCTACCACTGAACCACTGAGTGATGGGATAGAAAAATCCCAACTCCTTCAGCCTCATTGGAGCAACTCTGCAGTATAACCTGCAGTGTCCCCGAGCTGCCTGGTAGACTGAGTGAAAGCAACCCTCTGAGGGCCTGGAGCTGATGTCCCACCCGTGCTGGCCTTTCTTCCTTTGCCTACCCCGCTTCTCCGCTCCCTCAAAATAACTTCCTTGCAAATCTTCATCTCAGGATATGTTCCAGGACAACCCAACCTAGGAGCGTAACCAAGAAAATGTACACAAAAACCCAACTTAATGCTTTTTTTGATAAGTCTTTGGCTTTAGCAGGCCTGGAAGCCATTTCTAACTGGCAGTAGTCAGCTAGGGCTGAGCCAAAGCCATCCAGCAAAGACAGAGCGTGCTTCCCAGTTCCCCCCAGTCCATCATACTTCTAGTGTACTCCACTGGCTTTTTTTCACCCATTCATATTGCCTGTATCCTCATGAATTTTTCTGCCCTACGATACAATGCAGCGGTTAACAGTGTAGGCTTTGGGGTAAGTCAGCTTAAGTTTACATTCTAGATCTACCAAGTCTCAATTGCATGAATTTATACAAACCACTTGATATTTCTGCTTTTCAATTTCTTTGTATAAAAACTGAAAACCTATATGTACCTGTGTGGTCCCCTGAGCCCTCGTAGCTTAGTGTGTAATGTAACAGCCTGCTAACCAAGAGGTGAGGAGTTCAAATCCATGAAAGAAAAAGGAACAGTCTTCTCCCAGAAAGACTAACATTCTCAGAGACGTGATGGATGAGAAATATGAGTCTGAGCTGACTCTATAACTGTGATTTTATGGTGGCTGGCAGAATTAAATAAGACAGGATGTCTAAAAGAGCCTTGTACAGTATCTAGTACATGGTAAACAACAACAAAACCCCAAGCAAACAAAAAACCCCCACGCCCATTGCTGTTGACTCAATTCCAACTTAGCGGCCCTCCATTGAATTCCCAGGCTGCATAGCCTCTCGGAAAGAGACTGCTCATTTTATTCCACTGTGCTGGTTGGTGGATCTGAACCAGAGACCTTTCAGTCAGCAGTCCAACATATTACCCACGGTACCACCGAACTCCTTTTAAAAAAAATCCTCAAACTCAATGCTGTTGAGTCAGAACCAATGCACAGCTGACTCTCTGGCAGGTTTCAGGAGGCTGCAAATTGCATGAGAGGAGACTGCCCACCTTTCTCTTGAAGCCACTGGTGGATCTGAACCACCAGAGAGAGGCATGGATGTTAGCTTAACAGACTAACTTCCCATCGATGACACAAGTACGTGGCTGTGGATGTTGTCACTGTGCTGCTCAGTTGGAAATGACTCACAGCTGACCCTCCAGTGGGTTCTCAAAGTCCGTAAAATCACAGGAGAGGAGACTGTTCATCCTTCTCCCATACAGCAGCTGGTGGACTTGAACCAGCTTTGGGACTACAGCACAGCTTCTTACTACTAGGCCATCAGAGGTCCCTAGCACACCGTGGTTATTGTTGTGTACCACAGAGTCAGAACTGACCCACAGCTGACCCTCCAGTGGGTTTTCAGAAGCAGTTAATTGCACAGGAGGAGATTGCCTATCCTTCTGCCATGGGGCCACTGGTGGTCTCGAACTGTGTGCCTTCAGGATTGCAGTGCAGCTTCTTACCACTAGGCTCCCAGTGCTCCCGGCACATGGCTAGAGGTCATAAAACTACTACGATCAGTGTTTTCAGAGCTGGTGTGCCCATGACCATCTGTGGCTTGCATTCATCTATGATTACTTAGCAGCCTCCAACCTGACCCCAACCCATGAAGGAAAGGGACCCCTTTGCCCAGGGAAGCTTAGGTCGTTCAGGTGGGTCTGACCACTTACCTCCTCCCACTGATGAATGTATCGGATGAGACGAGAGAGACGCAAGAGGCGCAAGAGGCTGAGAATCTTGGTGAAGCGGACAATGCGCAGGGCCCGGGCGGTCTTGTAGACCTCGGAGTCGATGCGCGTCTCCACGATGAGGAAGATGTAGTCCACTGGGATGGAGGAGATGAAATCGACCACAAACCAGCTCTTGAGGTACTTCATCTTTATGCGCTGCGGGTCCAGGATGATCTCGGTGTTGTCCTCCACCACGATCCCTGTGCGGAAGTTGAGGACCAGGTCGATGAGGAAGAACGTGTCCGACACCACATTGAAGACAATCCAGGGTGTGGTGTTTTCATCCTTGAAGAAGGTGATGCCCACAGGAATGATGATCAGGTTCCCCACCATCAGGAGCAGCATGGTCAGGTCCCAGTAAAATCTGCCCAGAGACACAGGGGATCAGTTGCCAGGGGTGTGAGAGTGTGAGTAACCAAACCAGAGAGAAAACTCCAAGGGAGAGAAAATATGAGAGAGACAGACAGGCAGACAGGCAGGCAGGCATGGGAGCTTCTAGGACATTCAGAGAGATGAGGCACCTGAGTATAAGCGCAAGGAGCGAAGGCTGGAAGGGCCAGGGGAGCCAGAGGCTTGAGGACACCCTGGCCGGGTGATCTCACACGCTCCCCTGATGATGAACTCTCCACAGACATATCTACCCCCAGTGATATTCTGGCTGGAAAGCAAAGCAAACAGCATCCTAAAAGAAGTGACAGGCTGTTTTAGCTACAGGAGCAGCTTATTCTACACCAGCCTAAGCTCAGGCCAGGCTCTTCCACCCTCCCTGAGGGTCAGGCAAGGTCTGAGACAGGCTGTCAGGCAGACGTGCCATACACCCACACACTGTGGTCCGAGAACAGGGATGATCCAGACGTACAGCAGGTGCCTGGGAGGCAGGAGGCCTGGGCTCCAGCCCCAGCTCTGTCACTGGCATGCTGTGTACTGTCGGGCAGGTGTCCTGTCATTCTGATCTGGTTTCCCCCACAATGAGTCCCTGGGGGCTCCCTTTTGGTTCATCTTCCTAGAGAGGTTTACTTCCTGACAGGAGAAGGAATTAGGGAGGTAATGATGTTATCAAAGGCAGGAGGTATTAAAAGGGGAGTCCCAGGCATCAGTGAGGTGTCAACCACTCAATACACTAGGGTGAGATTAGCCCAGGATTCTGACAACATTTCTCCTACAGCCTCAAAGCACCTGCCAGGCCACCCCCAGGGTTAGGAGTGGGGATCCTAGGGTAGAGCTGCAGAGAAGGTGAGCAGCGTGAGGAGGTTCAAAACCAATTCACAAGGTCTGTGTTGGGCTGTCTCCCACCTGGCCCAGCAGGCCCTCTTCTGGAGTGTGGACACAGCTCAGAGGGCACAGACTTTGTGTCTAAAAGGTGTGGCCCACAATTCCTAGTGACTCTGCCCAGGTAGCGGCCATCCCAGGGCCTGCCAGGCAGAGCTGTTTCCCTCTGCTATTAATTTAGATGGTTACACAATAGCAGATAATTGGGCAGAAATTAGCCTGTCTTCTTTCAAGAGAAAGAACCTTCTAGCCATCTGTAATTCTCTACCACAGGGAAGCCGGGAGGAAGTGGCAGAACCGACAAGCTCTCCTCCAGTTTTTGGAGGATTCTACCTCAAATACAAAGTGTACTTGCCTAAAGAGCTTGGGGGACAAAAAAGTGCTTTACAACAACTAACAACTGTCAGGAATCAATGAGAGGACAGGGTTGGCTTCCCTGAAGGGAGTGGGGAGATGCCACACAGCACACCCACTATCCAGGAAGGATAGTTTCCAGAAATGCAGCCCCCTGCAGATCATTTGAGAGCCAACCCCCTACGGCCTCATGTGGCTAAAGCTTCTCATCCTAAGCTTGATGCTAGGAGATCAGCTTCACTCCTTTCCTAACCCTCAGCCCGCTGCCCCTTCTCCCGCCCCCAAACCCCTATCCCAGCTATGATAACCCCTCCCTCCCAGGTACCACCCAGAGCCTAGCACATCCTGTCAGGGAATCATGGGCTCCAGGTGGGTGGTTCTGCTCCTTTGGGACACTCTTGAGCTGGGCACACTCTCCAGGGAGCTTCACACACATCATCCAAGGACAGCTGTGTACACTCATCAGGTGCCCCACACAGGCATCCCCATTCACACACCCGGTGTGCAAACACTCTTTACACACACCGCTGTCATTCCTTTTCATTTGATCTCTTGGGGAAAACAAAACAACCCATGTGGCATAGAGAGGCCACTGAGGGCCATGTGGTCCTCTGTACATAAAGCTAATAATACACTCAGGCTGGAGGAGTTGCTAAAATTAACAGAGCAGGCGCAAAGCAGCTAGGAGTGCTGACTGGGCAGGCCTGCCACTCTGGCGGGTTTCTCTGCTCTCCTCAGCTCTAGTTCCCTCAATTACAGACCAAATTTGAGACAGTAATTAACAGGAGAATGTTTGCATTTAGTGGTCTTCATAAAACCAAATTACATGAGGCAAAAACACCCATTTCCTTGCATTCTGACTAATTGTTCCCATCACGAGCTTTCAGATGTTCATGGATATTTCTAGGGCCTGGCTGGAGTACTAGAGCATTCACCCCACAAATGATGGGTCCCGAGCATCAGAGAGCTGCTCAAGAGGTAGTCTCAGCCAGTGAGAAGCAGCATAGGCTCTGCAGTCAGCTTGGGCTTGATTTTCTGACTCTACTAGTATCCTAACTAGTCATTTAATCTCTTCATGCCTCAGTTTCCTCATCTGCTCAAAGAACATAAAACAGGATTGTCAAAGGAATTACGTTATTATTTGTAAATGTGTTTTGACCTATGCTACTACCCATAGGCCAGGCTGTCAGGTTGTGGTGGCTTATATGCCACTATAATGTTGGAAGCCATGTCACTAGTATTTAAAATACCAGCACGATCACCTGAGGTGGACAGATTACAGTTGAGCTTCTGGACTACAACAGACTAGGAAAAAAGGTGATCTACTTTTGAAAATGAGACAATCCAATCCTATGTATCACAACAGAATATAGTGCCGGAAGATGTACGCTAGGTTGGATTTGTCTTTACTGTTGTTGTTAATTGGCATTGAGTCAATGATGACTCCTGACAACACTGTGAAAACGGATCTGAACACTGCCCTGTCCTTTGCCAACTTCGCCATCTGTGAAGGTCCCCAAAGTACACAGAGGCCACTACAATGGGTCTCACCAATGACCATGAAGATGCTACAGGACTGGGAAACACATTGTTCTGTTGCATGTGGGACAATCATGAGTAGGTGGCTAACAACCACCACCTATCAGGATTGTTAGAAGAATTCAATAAATCGTTATTGGTAATGTGCTTTGATATATGCCTGTTGTGTTACTAAAGGAATAAATAAAAAATTCAAGGATTGAATTATTGAACCAAGTCAATAATTCACAAAGAACAAATTCCCAGGGGACATGTGAAGGAGAAAGACTGACACTTGTAGGAAAAAGTCAAAGGATCCACTGAGGCTGGCAAGTGCAGAGAATCCTTATCAGGGACCCGAGGGCCAGTGGGGGGAACCAGGGGAGATAGTATTTCCTGACTGGGCAGACAATGGAATGTATTTACTAAGGCAGCAAGATTTCACGGCTCCAGGAAACTCAGAGTCAAGGTAGGAGGCCAAACTCACTGTTATCAAGGTAATTCCTACCCACAGCAATTGTATGGGACAGAGCAGGACTGCCCCAAACAGTTTCCGATACTGAAATCTTTATGGAAGCAGACTGACACATCTTTCTCCCTTGGAGGGGTTGGTAGGTTTGAACTGCCAATCTTGCAGTTAACACCTGGGTTCTTTAATCACTGCACCACCAATGTACCTTCAGTTTAAGGGCCTGACTAGTAATGTGAGATACCATGCCATTCATGCCAGGCTTCTGAGACAGGTGTCTTAGAAAAGGTAGGAAAGAGTTGGACTTTGGGAGCTGTCCTTAAATCTTTGCCAGAAAGCTGCAGAGCCTCACCAGAGCCAAAGATGTGTTCAGCACCATGGACAGCGTCAGTCGTGACTGCCAGCCCCACTCTGTAGGTACACGCCTTGAAAAGTCGGTAACAGCTTCTCCACTCCCATTCTCAGCCCTGGCCCCTATCTACTTTCATCCTGATGTCATGTGATTCCTTAATGGGAAGTTTCAGTAGGGCCTTCTGGATGACTAACACAGCCTTCATTCAGAAAGATCTCTAAACACTCCACATTTATCGACTTCCCATTCAGTATTTATTTCATTTCACCCTCCTACCAGTCCTGAACTGGCTGCTATCATCTGTATTTGACAGATGATGCCACTGAGGCTCAGAGAGTAGAAGTATCATCCCAAGACCACACAGTGAGATTCAGAGATATTGGGGGACAGTATGGTCTTATCTTGAGGTTTCAAGTACCTCAGTGGGATGTGAGGAGACCGATGAGCCCTCCTGGCACCTTTGACCCACACTGGGGAGGCATTCTACTGGGTTCTCAGTCTATCACAGGTCCCAAAGACACAAGAGGAAAACAGAGGGCTATGTATGCAGTCACAGAGGCAACAAGGTATCCATCCTCCTGATGCCCAGGCTTTCTGAAGTGATTGGGAGCATCACAGTTTTCAGGGTGCTATAAGTACCTCTCAGGTGCATCCATGCCCATCCTGTAGAAGGGAAAACTAAAGTCTACAAAGGAGAGAAGAGTGATATTTCCAAAGCTCCAAACTGGACATCCAATGTCCCCATTACCCTACTGCCTCCTAGAATCATCAGTGGATAAATCCCACAAGGCATGGGTTTGTTTCAGGTGTCATACTTAGCAGGGAAACACTAGAGAGCTGGACTAGGACAAATAAGAACTAGCTTATGTCTGAAGTAGAGGTCTTAGACCGCCCCCCGCAAGCCAGATAACCCTTCCCCATCCCATTGTTCTTGAAGCTGAGAAAAAGTCCAGCCAGCAAGACCCTAACTGGACTCTGGAGGCCCTGTCCCAATTTCAGGCCTAGACTGAGAGCCAACTCCAGGTCCTCACCCTCAGAGTGCAGCCCCAGGTCTGTCCTCCCACAATCCTGAACCTCACTTCCCAATTGGATGGACAGATCCATCCAGGTAGGCAGGTGGCCTCTCTGCAGGTTGGCTTGGGAGGGAGCAGGTGCCATGTAGAAGAGAGAAGGGGGGGGAGATGGGGGGGAAAAAGCCACACAGTTCTTTTCCACTATTATCTGGAGCATTTTATTGGGTGGAGTGGAAGGTCAAGGGAATTTGAGCTATAAGACTCAAGGACCAAACCAACAGTCAGTCTTTCCTTGAGCTTGAAGATGTAACGGGTGACAGAAAGGAAGGCCGAAGTGCAGGCTCATAATAGGATGATCTCCTTCAGGCTTTTTGTGCCCTTCCATATCA